AAATAATGCCTCAAAACATAAAAAAAAAAAGGAACCCAGGAAAAAAACCTGGACATCAATGGCCAATTGGTCTTTGACAAGGGTGCCAACAACATACAATGGGGAAAGGAAAATTTCTTCAATAAATGGTGTTGGGAAAACTAGATATCCACATAAAAAAGAATGAAATTGGATCCTTATCTTACACAGCTCACAGATATTAGCTTAAAATAGGTTAGAGACTTAAATGTAAGACCTGAAACTGTAAAACTTACAAGAAAACATAGGGAAAAGCTTCTTGATTGGTCTTGGCAATTGGTCTTTCTTAGGTGTGACACCAAAATCACAAGCAACAAAAGCAAAAATAAATAGACAAGTGGGACTACATTAAACTAAAAAACTTCTCAATAGCAAAAGAAAAAAAAAAGATGAAATGGCAACCTCTGGTGTGTGATAAAATGTTTGTGAACTATATAGCTGATAAGGGATTAAATTCTGAAACATAAAGAACTCCTACAACTTAATAGCTAAAGAAAAATAACCCAATTTTTAAAAAATGGGCAAAGGACCTGCACAGACATTTCTTCAAGAAAACATAGAAATGGCCAACAGGTATATGCAAAGATACTCAACATTACTAATCATCAGGAAAATGCAAATAAAAAACCACAATGATCTGCTATCACTTCACACTTGTTAGGATGACTGTTATCCAAAGGTCAAAAGATAAGTGTTAGTGAGGAGGTGGAGGATGTGGGGAATGTAACCTGGTGCAGCTGCTATGAAGAACAATATCAAGATTCAAAAAAAAAAAAAAAATAGTGCTATTGGCAGCCTGCCTTCTGAGTATATATCCAAAGAAATCGACATCAGGATCTCAAAGAGATACATGCATCATTATTCACAACACCCAAGATATGGAAACACCCCATCAAAAAATAAATGAATAAGTAAAATGTGGTATCCTATATAATAAAATTCTAATATGCTAAGTATCCAGTCGTCCAGTCGGCTGTTCAACCAACCAAAGCATAATATGCTAATGTTATGCTAAAGCCGCTTAACAGCTTTCTATGATGTGCACTGACCACCAGGGAGCATACCATCAACCAGTAGACCAGTTGCTATGACATGCGTTGACCACCAGGGGGCAGACGCTCTGATAGGTAGGTTAGCTTGCTGCTGGGGTCCGGCCAATCGGAACTGAGAGAGATGGGCCAAACACAACCTGGAGCCCTCCTGCAGTTCCTCCTTGGCTGGCCAACCTCCTGCATCCTTCCCTGGCCCCAATTGTGCACTGGTGGGGTCCCTCAGCCTGGCCTGCAACTTCTTATGATCCAGAACCCTTAGGGAGAGCCGGTTTCAGCCCAACACAGAACAACCAGTTGCTATGATGCACACTGACCACCAGGGGGCAGACACTCAACGCAGGAGCTGCCCCCTGGTGGTCAGTGCACTCCCACAGTGGGGAGCGCCACTCAGCCAGAAGCCAGGCTCATGGACATCCTCAGACGGCTCCTGGAAAGTGAGAGGGCGCAGGCCAGGTTGAGGGACAAACACCCCCCCCCCCAGTGCACGAATTTTGTGCACCAGGCCTCTAGTCCTATATAATAAAAGGCTAATATGCAAATTTTCCCCTCGACCCAGAGTTCAACTGGAGGTTCGGCAAGGGGTGGGGCTGGCTGGCCAACCGCCTGCAGCCCCTCCTCCCAGCCAGCCTGGCCTGATTGTCCCTGACAATCCCCACCCATGCATAAATTCATGCACCGGGCCTCTAGTGTACATATAAGATATCCTACCTTTGAAATGAAAGAAATCCTACTGTTTGTGACAACATGGATGGGCCTGGAAGACATTATGGTATGTGAAATGAGACAGTCATAATATAAATACTGCATGATTCCTCTTAGATGAGTCCTCTAAAATAGTCAAATGAATAGAAATAGACATAGAATGGTGGTAACCAGGGGTTGGGAAAAAGGTTATGTGGAATATATGTTCAATGGGAATAAAGGAGCATATATACAAGATGAGTAAATGCTGGAGCTCTACATAGCACAGTACCTATCTATAATAATAAAAGCATAATATGCTAATTAAACCAGACATCCTTCCAGACAACCTTCTGGACAAAGCCAGGGCTGCGAGGGAAGCCCTGGTCCTGGGTGCTTGCTGGCTGCTGGAGGGAAGCCAGGGTCCCGGGTGCCAGAGGGAAGCCAGTGCCTGCAGCCGGGAGAAAGGGAGCCCTACTCTTGCACAAATTTCATGCATCGGGCCTCTACTAGTTAATAATAAGATACTGTGCACTTAAAATTTTAAGAGGCTAGATTTTATTTTAAATGGTTTTAACACATACACACACAAAGGGACACAAACTTTCAGAGGTGAGGGATATATTTATTTACCTTGATTGTTTTGATGGTCACAAGTGTACATATATGTTCAAATTCATCAAATTATATATATACAGTACTTATTGCAATTTTCTGCATACCAATTATACCTCAAGCTGGGGGAGCTGTGGGGAGGAGGCATACTAACAACTGAGACTTTCTCCATGGTTAACCAGAAGCATTGAAAGAGAATAAAAAGTAAACACACACAGAGAAAACAGACCATTAAACCACTTGAAGTGGTTTTTACAAGATTGCATAATACTCAACCTTTCATATTGTTTTTAAACCTGATAGAAATTTGTTATTTTAAGAACATCACAGGGAAAGAAAAGTATAATAGCCTTACTGTTGTACTCATAGAAGCTTTTCTCACTACTATTTATAGCCTTCCATCAATCACATGAAGTACAAAATCCTATGTTTCTGAAGCATAGTCAGTAAGAAATACTTTTTGAAGAACAATGGGTATGCCCTGGCCGGTTTGGCTCAGTGGATGGAGTGTTGGCTTGCGGATGAAGGGTCCTGGGTTTGATTTCCAGTCGGGGCACATGCCTGGGTTGCAGGCTCCATCCCCTGGCATGCAAAAGGCAACCAGTCAATGATTCTCTCTCATCATTGATGTTTCTATCTCTCTCTCCCTCTCCCTTCCTCTCTGAAATTAATAAAAATGTATTAAAAAATAAACTCCTGAGAGAGATTATCAACTTTTTTTATTAAGGAAAAAGTTAAGGTAAAATAAAAGAGGCTCATATCTGCTTTGGAATGTTTTCCATCCATTGTGTTGCCATCAAATTAATACAAATATACAAATTTTTATTGTCCAAGATCAATGTTCAATATCATGGGAGTTTTTTTGACCAGTTCAGCACTATCTTTATAGGGGGTGAGCAGGCCACTTACTGTCATCTCTTCATTAATCTGTAAAATTGTTTAATCAGTAGCATGAGCAACTATTAGTTTCTCTAGTCTATGGCAAAGTGGTAACTATTTTTTTTGTTTATAATTCTGCTCTCCAAGAAAGAAATTTTATCCTGAAATGTTATGCTACTGATCTGTCCCCAACCTGTTCAAACTTGCTTCCTTAGTATCCTTTAGGCTGTGAAGGTATTTCATTGGTAATCCATGGAAGTTTTTTTGAACCTAGTCTTTATATGACTCACTCAATGATTATTCCAGGAATAAACCAAAGTCTTCTTGTTTACTGTCTCCTAAACTTAGGCTTTTATATATATGGATTGTATTCACCATGCCAAGTCACGTCTCCTTCCATCACCATTTATCCCCCCCTTACCCTCTTCTACTTCCTCCCACCCCACTTTCCCTCTGGTGATCACCATACTGTTGTCTGTCTATGAGTTTTTTATTTTTTTGCTTATTCCCTTCACTGACAGCTGTCAATCTGTTCCCTATAGCTATGAGTCTCTTTCTATTTTGTTAGTTCATTTTGTCCATTAGATTCCACATATGAGTGAAATCATATCATACTAGTCTTTCTCTGACTGGTTTATATCACTTAGCAAAATATTCTCCAGGTCCATATATGCTGTCCCAAAATGTAAGATTTCCTTCTTTTTAATAGTCTTGTATGCCTAATTTTTGTCTTTTTGTCCCAGCTTTTATTAATTTAACATGTGTTAAGAACTTGAACTCTAGATGTTTCAAAAAGCTTTTCTTCTGTTTCATTTTTTTTTTATTATTCAGGGGAATTCACATAGTATAAAAGTAGCCATTTTAAAGTGTACCGTATAATGGCATTGAACACATTCTTGGTGTTGTGCAACCATCAACTCTGTCTACTTCCAAAACAAAAGGCATTTATGATTATTTCTAACTTATAGAACTGTACTATATATTGAGTACCATACATGTGGTTTCAATATCCTGTATAATAAAAGGCTAATAGGCAAATTGAACAGGGGAACAACTGGTCGCTATGATGCACACTGACCAACAGGGGCCAGACACTCAATGTAGGAGCTGCCCGCTGGTGATCAGTGCAGTCCCACAGGGGGAGCGCCACTCAGCCAGGAGTCAGGCTCATGGCTGGCGAGCACAGCAGTGGTGGCAGGAGCCTCTCCTGCCTCAGCAGCAGTGCTAAGGATGTCCAACTGATGGCTTAGCCCCGCTCCCCATGGGTGGGCCTAAGCCATCAGTCAGATATCCCCCAAGGGGTCCCGGACTGCGAGAGGGTATAGGCCAGGCTGAGGGGATCCCCCCTCCCCACAAGTGCATGAATTTCATGCACTGGACCTCTAGTTAACAATATAAAGGTATATCTTAATTTTAAGACTAGTAAGATAAAGTTTAGATAAAGTAATTTACTGAAGATCGTATATGTAATATGTTGCTTACCCACAATGTCTATTTCCAAAAGTTATATCCATTCCACTGTGCTAAACATACCCTCATTCATCTTACCTTTTGTTAGTGAATAAATTTCTAAGGCAGCCAGGAATTTCCAAGTGCCAGCATCCAGTAATGTTGCTATTATTCTAGTGTGCTATTTCAGGGAAATGTATATTTAAGAGTTTGCATGTTATAGGCTCCTAACCTATATTTAAATACTCTCTTGAGATTAAAACATTTGTTGACTATTCCAAGTTGTATTTAGCAACCGTCGCATAGAGAGGAACTGTTTTATTTTCTGTGGTGATTTTTACCTACTTCTTGCCTTTCAGATATGCTTCTTCTGTAAAGGACGGCTCCCAGTATTTTGTGCTCCTGATTGTGACAGACGGTGTTATCTCAGATATGGCTCAAACGAAGGAGTCTATAGTTAACGTAAGTAGGAGTCATTTAGTCTTGGGCTGGCTACGTAACAGCATGGTGCTACTCAGGTTGAGACTAGCGTCTAGTTGACTTCACAGTGAAACAAAATGCCCATGCCTTTGGGACCAATTGCATTTTAACTTTACTCAGACAACTCAGACCCATTTGTACCATTACTAGAAATCCATAAAGACTAAGCTAAGAGTGTGGATAACATGAGTTGTAACAAAATTATTTCAAAAAAAAATTTTTTAAAACGAAATAGCACTACCTTCATGTGCATGAGGATGTTTATCTATATTAGTTTGATGTACATGTGCACAATGTTACAATTTTGCACAAAATATTTCTTAATATTCACATTTCAGTTATGGGAGAACTTTGCTAATTTCTATTTCTATAGAACTGGATGGGAACTGGACTTGATTCAAAACCATGTTTCTCATTATAATTCCTAATTGTGTTATAGTTAGCTAGAGGCCCAGTGCATGAAAATTCATGCACTGGAGGGGGGCTCCCTCAGCCCGGCCTGCCCCCTCTCACAAACCAGGAGCCTTAAGGAGGAGACCCGGCAATCGGGAAGGCGACTCCCCATCACACCTCTGCTGATGCCACAGCCAGCAGCACAAGCCTCAGCCAGCCCTGGTTACCTGAGCCTCAGACAGCTGGGCAGCTGCCATCCAAGGCTTGCCTGCACCTCGGGCTGGCCCAGGGCGGCTAGGCAGCCAACATGAGGCTTGCCTGTGCCTTGGGCATCAGCTGGGCAGCCGCCATCAGAGGCTTGCCTGCGCTTTGGGCCAGCCCTGGGCAGCTGGGGTGCTGAGGGGACTGGGGGACTCCAGAGGCAGGCATGCATACCTGCCACCCTGGCAGGCCTGAAGGGACTAGATGCCACCATCTTGTGACTGTGGGCACTGCCATCTTTGAGGGCAGGACAGTTAATTAGTATATTCCCTCCTTATTGGCTGTGGGCGCCGCCATCTTTGAGGATAGGGCAGTCAATTAGCATATTCTCTCCTTATTGGCTGTGGGCTTCGCCATCTTTGTGATGGCATGAGAGTCAATTAACATATTCCCTCTTTATTAGATAGGAGGGTGTTTTATTGTCTTCATTGTTAGTCTATAATCTATAAAGTTTACATTTACTAGATTATCTATGTATATAAAAGCCTAAGTGACCATTACGACAGGTTGACTGAACAACTGGTCAACTTGTTGCTATTGCACACACTGACCACCAAGGGGCAGATGCTCAGCATAGGAGCTGCCCCCTGGTGGTCAGTGTGCTCCCACAGCCAACCTCCCGCGCTGGCCAACCTCCAGCAGTCCCTCCCCCCGGCCAGCTGGCCCCGATTGGCCCCAATTAGGACTTGGAGAGATGGCCCTGATTGACCCCAATCATCGGCCAGGCTGAGTAACCCCACCCATGCACAAATTCATGCACCCCGCCTCTAGTAATTAATAAAATTATTTCTGATTTTAGTTCCCTTTCATATTCAGGTTTAGCAATGTTTGGCACACAGTAGACACTTAGTAAAAATGGGTTGCATGAATGTTTATCATACCTCATAATTATTAATAGCATGGAAAAAATACAATTAGATATCTGTTATGAGCAAATAGGTTCATATAGGGGCAAAAATCAAATACTTTATATACATATGCTTAGAAAAACTAAATATGAAAAGGAAGAGGAGGAGTTAAAGTTCACATATTTATTTGTTTATTTTTAAATCTTGATTTCCCTAATATTCTGATCAGTGGCATTAGTGTACACTTTAATATGGACTTAATAATTTAAATTTAAATTAACAGTCATGATGCACTGAGGAACAATTATTTTTAATTCAATGGCCTTCATAGATAAAGATGTGATTGCTATAGTACTGCATCTGTCTGTTGCTAGAGCTTACATTTTTACCATTAAAGTATTTAATGTGATGATGTCATTTAAGTGATACATATAATGAGAAAGCCTGCCATAATATATTCAGTATCCCTCACAATCTCATGGATATTTAATACATAATTTAATCATACTAAGAATAACTTTCTATAAATGAGGTAGAATAGAATACTGCTGTTTCATAAATATGGTAACCCTTTCCCCTTTAGCAACTAAAAGATATTTTAGAAGAGATAGAACATGAAAAAAGAGAGATCAAGGATACCCAGTGTCATCTTATGTAGATTTTGGTTGATAGTAGCAAGTGAAAACTAAAGCTAAAGCTTTTATTTTTTTTATATTATCCAAGGCTGGTCATTGCTGAGGACTGCCCCACTGAATCAGCATATGTACAGAGTTGGGAAAGCATAGGCATGGAATTAAGTATATTATCTGGTAGTTATTTTAAGTATCTTCAAAACTACTTTAATGAACATCTGTGAAAAATATAAACTAAAACAGGATATTAAATTTTTCTTAAATCTTAATTCTTTTCTTAAGAACTCAATTTCTTAATTGTGAACTAATTGTGTATTCTTTTCGAAGGCTTCAAAACTTCCAATGTCAATAATTATAGTTGGTGTTGGACCAGCAGAATTTGATGGTAAGTAATATAATTTCAGTAGTATTCCTTGGGAGTTTATTTAATCTGAGTCATCATGCCTTTAAGTTTCTATCACTCTTTTTAAAAATTTTGAATGTGAGTGTGCATGTAGATTTTCATATAATGTCCATGTACACTAGGCATAAATATAAATATCTCACCATGAAGTCTGTTTAGGTGAGCAAATTAAAATATTGTCTCTTGAGTAGAGCATTATCTTTCTAATATAGATGCGTGCAACATGTATTTTTTCATTTTAGTAGAGATGGTTTGTACTTAAAGATAATATTTTTTAAAGACTTACAGAGTGATAAATTGAGTTTTTGTTCCCAAGGCAAATTACTCTCTGAGTTTCCTAAAAACCTTTAGGAATAAAAACTAAATTAATAAATCATTAGATTGTGAATAGAAATGTTCACAGTATGCTTCGGGAATGGATTTTCAGACCCTGGCTAGTTGATAGACATTAGCTTTAAAAATACTTAAGTTCTGGCCGAAACTGGTTTGGCTCAGTGGATAGAGTGTCGGCCTGCGGACTGAAAGGTCCCAGGTTCGATTCCGGTCAAGGGCATGTACCTGGGTTGCGGGCACATCCCCAGTAGGAGATGTGCAGGAGGCGGCTGATCGATGTTTCTCTCCCATCGATGTTTCTAACTCTCTATCTCTCTCCCTTCCTCTCTGTAAAAAATCAATAAAATACTTTTTAAAAAAAAATACTTAAGTTCTGTCATATGAAAACAGAATGAAAATGGAACTGACCATACAGTGGTTCTCAACCTGTGGGTCGCAACCCTTTCACAGGGGTCACCTAGACCATCGGAAAACACATATATAATGACATATTTTTTTGTGATTAATCACTATGCTTTAATTATGTTCAATTTGTAACAATGAAATTGGGGGTCACCACAGCATGAGGAACTGTATTAAAGGGTCACGGCATTAGGAAGGTTGAGAACCACTGAAAGGAGACTTTATATAATTATGCTAAATTGACTTACTGGGAGTTTTGTTTGGGCTTAAGCCTTGTTCAGATGCTAACTAAGTGACAGGTGTTTGTGTAACTTGTAATCTGGGCAAACTTCATTCAGAATAGTCTGTTACTAGTTATCTGGTGAATTTCTTCAAGAGAACTTTATACTGGACAGCACCGGTATGACTTCGTAACATTTACCTGGTTCAGGTGTTTTAGATTAACAACACTTTCTTTAGCTTGGCATTTTGGAAATGAAAATAATTTTAGACTATTTGGAACAACCTCTGGTATGTTACAAGGTAATTTAGGCATACAGGTACTGATGTTAGTATGATTATCACTGGATTGATTCTCTGTTAACCACCAGTGCCTTCTCTGTAAGGGTAGTATGGATCTGTCCATCTCAGATAAAGAACCGCAGGGCAAGTTATATTGGTGACTCCGAAAATTCCTTTCTTTCATTCTATGCTTGGCTAGTCATCCTTTTCATCATTATAATCTTCCATTTTCTAAAGCAGAGGTCATTTAGTCTGATGGCTGCTGCTTCTGCTAATATTTTCTTGTCGCGGGGTATTTGCATCTGTTTGCGTCATCTTTCAGGCATCAATATGACACATTTCTCTGGAGTCAGGAAACCTAAAACACATCTTTCTTCTTAATGCTTTGTACACTTGATTGTTTGCATTAATTAGTGATAGACCAAGATCCACAAACTTCACCCATTGCTAGGTTACAATAACCCATGTTTTTTTCTTCAGTCACTAATTTGCTTTTGCCTCTCAAGGATACACCTCTGATAGGGCACATCTCAGGTCTCCCAGACTCCCATGGAAGTCCACCACTACATGTGTCACCTCAGGGATGGGGAACACTAGCACCTGCTCATCAACAACCCCCCCACAACCCCCACACATATTCATCCTTGTTTGAATACAAAGCCACTGACCCTTCCTAGTCATAGACCGTATTTCTACTTACTACACAAGACAGCTATTTGTTTTCTTCTTTTCTGTAGTTCCCAGTGAATTATTTATTAGGATTTGAGGTGTGATAATTCATCATTTTCCTCTCTGACTTCCTGAAGTAAAAAAAAAAAAAAATGCAGGAAACAGAAACTAGAATATAAGCTTTATTTCTAGCGCTGCAGAATTGGAGGATTTGGGTTAACCTGTGCACAGAGGCAGACTTCTCGCTACCTTTTCCCCCCAAGATTAAATGACCTCACCCTTATCTCCAAGCCTACTCCATCCAGGGGCTAAGTCTTGCCTATTAAGCCTGCTCCAGAGAGGAACTGCCTTCACTCTGAGGATAGGCAGTTCCAAAAAAGAGAGGTTCAAGGTCAGTTTCTTCTAATAGTAATCCTATGAATCCTGCCTCTTTCTATGTGGAAAAGTGAGTGAAGATTGTAGACAAAGAAGGAAGTTGCCTTCCCAGTAGAATTCTATCCTGGGAATTAGAGTGAAACTTTCCTCTGGGGAACATTTGAACAGAGATTTGGGATCCTGCTCTCACCATGATGGAAGTTTAAATAGAGTGGAAAGTCTTCCAGGCCTAGTACTAGAAAAGTAGGCTATTCCACCAGGAGACAGTAGATGCTTCTCTAAAGGATTTTTTTTCTTTCCTCTCATGGCTAAGAAGAAAAGGACAGGATACTCATGTTTAAGATAGAAAATTTCCAACTTGCATTCAAATTGCTGCTGTCTTTTTAAAATATGTATATATATATATGTATGTTGTATTGAGAGGAGAGAAGGAGTGGGAGAGAGAGAGAGAGAAAGAGAGAGAGTGAGAGAGAGAGAGAGAGAGAGAGAGAGAGAGAAACATCAATGATGAGAGATAATCATTGATAGGCTGTCTCCTACGTGCTCCCTACAGGGGACTGAGTCTGAAACCCAGGCATGTGCCCTGACAGGGAAACAAACCTGGTTCATGGGTCAACGCTCAACCACTGAGCCACATTGACGAGGCAGATTGCAGTGGTCTAATCAGAAGAGCCTTTCTCCGGGCTCTTCCAAGTCTACCATAGAGTAACTTTATATGCCACACATATACACTGACATAGGAAAAAAGTGACATAAAACTTGCAGATTTTATCAGGTAACCACCTAAATCCAACATCTACACATTTTTAGCCAGAAGGGCATTGTTTGCATGGGCAAGAAAGGTAATATTTTGCCATCCATTCTTTGAAGGTTGAGAAAATAAGAAACTATTAGATTAGTGAGTATTCAAATTTCTTACTTTTATATTTTAATTTTTTTGTACTTTAATAAGAACAGTTTACAACCATCTCTAAATCCCCCCCGCCCCCATGACTTTTCATTCCTTTATAAAAAGCACCGTCATTAAGAGAAGGATTTTTCAAGGTGGGATTTCTTTATCCTTAAAAGGCAAAAAGGCAAATTGAAGCAGCATCTGGCTACCTGCTTTGATCATTAGGAGAATGGACACCTAAAAGGGGCTCGGACTTCGTCCCATCTCCCATGGCGAGAAAGTAGCGCTGGTCTGTCTCACATTGTTTTTCCAAGGGCAAGTCCTGGTGGGACCTGGGGCTTATAACATCAGGACCCGATGGTCTGGAAACCTGAAGGGAGAACATTACCCTCCCACCACCTGCCCCCTATTTCTTTTCTCCTTGCTAGCAGCAGTGTAGTATTTCTACATATAGACCTTTAACCCAAAACACATGCTGGAAAGTGAGACATCCTTTATAGCAGTGGTTCTCAACCTTGGCTGCACATTAGAATCACCTGGGAATCTTCTTAAAATCCTGATTTCTGGGCCTCATCCTCCGGAAATTCTGTTTCTTTGTTACTAATATTGTGGCCTCACCCCATAACAAAGAAACAGACTTTCCAGAGGATGAGGCCCAGAAATCAGAATTTTAAAAAGATTCCCAGGTGATTCTAATGTGCAGCCAAGGTTGAGAACCGCTGCTTTATAGGATCTCATTCTAGTTATTCAGTTATTGCCTGACTGACTGTCATTTTCTTTAATTAGTAAATTAGATAATAAAGAAGACGTTTTGGTGGCATGTCATCATCCATATACATTTATGTCTCAAAGTAATATGAAAATTTTGAAAACAAACCTTAACCGAAAAGAGGAATTAACTCTTGAAAATATTTGAGTATAATGAATTCTCTTATTAACATTCCTAATGAGTAGGAAAGAAAAAAATAGGCCTTTTTAAAAATAAGCTAATTACCTTATACATTTTACTAAATCAAGACATATATTGTATATTTAAGCAAACTGAGTGGTGGCTCTCTATCAGTTATGTGTGCTAGCAATACTTTAGCCCAGACACTGATTCATGAACATGTATAGAAAAAGTAAAATGTAAAACAATGTTTTTAATCCAAATTCATTATCCACACACTAAAGAAAATAACAAAAGCCTGGCTGGTGTGGCTCAGTGGTTGAGTGTTGACCTGTGAATCAGGAGTCACAGTTTGATTCCTGGTTAGGGCACATGCCCAAGTTGCAGGCTCGATTTCAGGTAGAGGGGCATGCAGGAGGCAGCTGATCAATGATTCTTTGATGTTTCTATCTATCGCCCTTCCTCTCTGAAATACCTACAAAATATTTTTAAAAAATCTTTAAAAAATGGTGAGGATTGTATTCTGATTGAACAATGTTTTTTGGAGGGTTAGGAGGCAAACATAATTGCAAGTGGCTCTCTGTAGTCTAGTGAATGTCATGTATATACAAAATGAATTATCAGCAATAAAATTATACTTTAAGCACAAATTAGCATTCCTTATGTAATTAATTATTTAGAGAATTCTGGCTGAAAACCTAATAAACTCTGGAAAATGTTCTTAATTGCAGCATAACATTACTGTATCAGCAGATGAGCCATTTTATCACAGCACTCCCAAATACCCTCTGATATTTGTGATGTTGAAATTCTCCTTTAACCAACAAAAAATCAAGCCTCAGAAAAATCGTACTTTATCTAAGCAGTACAAGGGCAGAGCAAATGTCTCTTTATTGTTCAATCTATGTTTAAAGTGGGAATTGGGCAATATGGATATATAGCTTTGTTATAGTTTTGATAAGAATGAAGTTCAGCCCAGCCTAAGTGGCTTAGTGGTATTGTCCCATTAACCAGGTGGTCACGGCTCAATTCCTGGTCAGGGTCAGAGCACATGCCCAGGCTGTGGGTTCAATCCCCAGTAGGGGGCATGCAGGAAGCAGCCAGTCAATGATTCTCTCTCATCATTAATGCTTCTATCTCTCTCTCCGTCTCCCTTCATCTCTGAAATCAATGAAAATATACATTTTGAAAAAGAATAAAGTTCAAATTGTTATTGGGAATTCTATGATGACTAGCACCAAGCTTCTTAGTTTAGAAAGAAAAACTAAAATGGAATGTTTTAGTATCAATTGCTCAGTCCTGTAAGCACGTGACCCCGGTTTGAGAACCCCTGGGATGGAGAGATGCACCTGATGACTGCTCTCTCCTGCACTGGCTCTTCTCGTCTGTCAAAGCGTCACCTGAGGCGCTGGCCTGTTTTCTTCATTTGTGAAATTTACCCTCCATCAGGTTCTGTGGGAGAAATGATTGCGAAGATGCAGGGGATCAGCAGCTTTTTGACTTTACGTAGGACGTTGTGCTACTTCATACGTCTTGATTTCTGTATTGCCTACGTTGTTTTAGTTAGTATATGGCTAAAATACACTGGATAAATAATTCTTTTTTATTTTCAAGCAATGATTGAGTTGGATGGAGATGATGTAAGAGTTTCCTCCAGAGGAAAATATGCCGAAAGGGACATTGTGCAGGTAAGAAATTTAATGAAAATTATTTATTTTGTTCATAGTGAACAGCTCTTGTTAAATAAACAACTTTAAGTTGAAATGATGAGTGTCAGGTTCTGTTTAATTTAATTGGTGGGTTCTCTGTGAGATGCCTGTTAAGTATTAGGGCCTAGAAAAAGCACCCATGCTTTCCCCTGGACTTTAGGTTCACAATATGTAAGTAAATTATCAATAATTTATTTTATTGCTATTTTATTATTACCTTCTTCATTATTACCAGAAAATAGTGAGAGTTTTAGTAAAATTAGAATCTAGAAACGTAATGAACTTTTTAGTAATGCTTATCTACTCATTTTTTAGTCTGCAACAAAGACTAAAAGTATTTTTAAACAGCTGATATATATTTAGAGTAGATAAATTTAGTATAAATGAACCAAAAATGTAGATATTTTCATACTTTCTTTGTAGATTATGATTAGAAAGTGGAGAAATACATTTAAAATTATGTATAAATATATAAATTATATGTAAATAATATATAACCATAAATAAATCACAATATATAAAATAATAAAGTATGATTCACAATTCTCTTAAAATTTTAAAAGAATGCTTAACTAAAGCCTACTATTCAAGGAGTGGCTTGAAAGAAAATAATTAGTAACCAATATAATTAAAATTTATAGTTGAAAACAAGGAGTTAATTCAACTAAAGTTCTGCATGTATTACAGCCTCCATATTTTTAGGGTGCCAGAAGAGAAAAAAGACTATGAAGTCTACCTTCTTAAATAGAAAAGGGAAGAAGGTGTCAGTACCATTGAAGCACATGACATGAAAGTTTGGGAGGAGCAAACAATGGACTTTAGCATTTTCTCTTAATTAATAAACTATATATTCACCCATAATACAGTCATTAAGAGAATCTAACTTGGAATTCGACAGAAATTGGTTCAAATCCTGGATTGTCCAACTATGAAAACTTGGACAAGCTTTCTAAATTCAGTGTACTGGCATTGTTATAACGATCAAATGAGAAAACATATATGAAATGCATTCCTGAAATAGTAAAATACAACAAAAAATGATTCAAATAATTTCAGGGAGAATATAACATAAAGTAATTTGTAAAAATTAATTGGCTAAATTTTAAAAAGCGTTGTTCTTAGTCTGTCAGCAAAATTTAATTTTCAATGAGAAACATTTTTTAAGATAATTAAATATGACATATTTTTTAACCTAATGTTCTTAGTAGAGTAAAAAGCACATGTGTGCGCACACACACACATGAATGATGAGGTTAAAAGCAGCTAAGAAAAGGAACATGGTAATGTGGTCATCTATTTAAGAATCCCATGGTGTTTTGTTTTCATAATTAGACACATGATTATTCACCTGCACCTCATTAGCATAATTATAGGTTTAAGTAATTACATCTTATCTGAAAGCTTTCCACAATGTCTGGCTCACAGTTTCAAAAAATTAAATTACTAATGTGAAGTATGAATTTGAAGTCCTTTAGAATGTGTTATGTTGCTGGTGTAATGCACTTTTACAAAGTTAGCAGAGGCAACCCCGTATCTCATACTATTATCTAAATGATGCTTATGAGAAACTTGGTATTTCTTAAGATTGTCCATATTGTTAAGGTTTTCTTTAAAAGGGCTAATATCTTATGTTGGTGACAACCAGCAGTTCTTATTATAAATATAAAACAAAAATTCACTTGAAAGTATTTAGTCTCTCAATGGATATCCTATATTGGACAGAATATTGCTATAGGACTCAAATCTATGAAGTAATATTGTGGGCACTCTGACCTTGAACAAGTCAATAAATCTCTTTAAGCTTTTGTTTCATTACCTCTAAACTCTAAATTCTTTCATCTTTGCCTTTCTTATGATGTTGTGATTCTCAGAGGAAGTAAAAATCATGAAATACCTTCTTACTTACTAGTATAAGCATTGATACTCAGAATCCTTAAGACGAGTCCACTACCATAAAATGATACTGAGATCCCCAAAGGTTTTGAAGGGACCTGGGGAAATCAGCTAAACACTCAAGAGATTTTACCCCATAAAGTTGAACTGAAAGAACTGAGATATTACAGATTCTGAGCATGAAATTAAAATGTTCCCAGACGATTAGTAGCCTCGTGAGTGACGGTTAGACCTTGGCTTACATGCCTACAGTTCAGGAGATTTGATGTGTTTTCTCAAATTTCATGCAGAAGTTTCTAAATGGTGATTAGTCTTTTAAAAATAGTAAGCAAGGTAAAAATTTATATATCTTATTGTATTTAAGAAGAATTAGCATCTCCTCTCTCTCCTTAAATAAGATTTTAAAAACATTCCAACAACCTCTACCATCCACTAAAATATTTTTAGATGACTTATATTCAAGACTAGAAATTTCCTTGAGCCTTGTCTGGTTAGATCTCAGTCCTTAGAGAGTCTGGGGTTTGATGCCTAGTCAAGGACACCTTGATTGCAGGTTTGATCAGGGCGCAAGCAGTAGACAACCAATTTCTCTCTCCCTCTCCCTCTCCCTCTCCCTCTCCCTCTCCCTCTCCCTCTCCCTCTCCCTCTCCCTCTCCCTCTCTCTCCTTCCCTTCCCTCCCTTCCACTCTCTCTAAAAAACAAATCCATAAAAAACATATCCATGGGTGAGGTTAAATAAGTAAATAAATAAATAAAAAGACTTTTCCTTGAATAGTTGGGGATATAGGAGTTACAAGAGCATACCAAGAATAACAATTCCAGTCCCTCCATCATCAGAAAATATCGAAGCCATCATAATGCTATAAACTCTGTTGGCTAAAATACTATCAGAAAATAGGGTCTATTTAGTCTCTCTTACCTTTTCACTACTTTCAAGTTTTTTACATGTTGAGGCTAATTAAGTTAATGCACAGCAAACAAAAGCCCACATTTCTTAAATGGACAAAACCCTAAGGCTGCAAATAATAGTAGGCAGCTGAATTTCAGTAGCTAATTAGGGGTAATAGATAGGGTTTTCATTATATTGTCAAATCTTAAGTGGCACCCAACTTCATTCCAATTAATCATTTATTAAGTCCTTCATGTGCTAGGTAGGCTAAGAGCTATAGCATTACTTCACTCAGTCCTTAATTGACTGTGAGACAGGTACTTTGATTACCATATTTGTAAAAGAAGAAATGAAGTTTAATTCCTCTTGTTCGTAGTCACAAAGCCAGTAAGAACTGGAGTCACGATTTAATCTTAAGGTGTTTAATTCTAAAATTTTTAACAAATATTCTGTATAACTTTGATTCTAAATCCTAAATCCTAAACAGCATTTAAGAGTCTCCATGCCCTGACTCCAATCTTCCTGTTTAGCTAAACACACACACACACACACACACACACACACTTTGTCTAAACAAATAGGACTATTAACTATCTTTGCATCACACATTTCTATTGTTCTTTCTCTTAGTTTTTATTGTCACTTTATTGGAATAATCTTCCTCCTCACTGGGCTGACTAAAATTCTACATTTTGAAATTTCCCAGTATACAGCCTTGTGTAATGGCCTGTCTCCACACACTTGAACTAATTTCCCCACCTTTTTTTCCTACTTTTTTCACCTATCACGTTATATCTTCATAAAAATACTGGACAATTTTTGCCTTGTAATAATTTATAAATAAGGAAACTGAAGCCCAAGATGGGGTGTTAAACAACTTATACAAAGCTGTTTAGATCATAAATTGGTAGATCCAAATTTTCAACAAAGTTCTGATTCCAAAACCTGTGTTCTTTTTGTAATCAATACACCTACTCTGTAATGAAGATTATTAGGATCTGTTCTCCTTTTCATATTTCTATCAGGGTTAATTTAAAAGAGTAAGATTAATTTGGGTTTAAATAATGACAGATATTTATAGCTTTCTGATGTTGGGTAAATTCATTAAACTGTCTAAGTTTCAGTTTCCTCTTCCGTAAGTTCAAAACATGGAGAGCATGCTTATAAAAATTAGTGTAAGATCTCTTAGCAAAAAGCCTCCCACTGGCGAGTTGCTCAATAAATGCATTAATATCAGTATCAGTTTTTATTATTAGTTAGTATGTTGGCATAATCCAGTCAGAAGGCATTTTAGGTCACTATTTCATAGTGTCTGGATCTTGACATATGACACTGTGGTCAGCCTTATGTGTGATTATATTCATTGTCTTGGTATTCAATCTCATATGACTATGGTATAAATAGTAAGCAGGATAAGATCCTATGGTTTCTATCCTAAAACTTAAGTGAGTTATTTTCTTAAATTCTATGTATTCATTTGCTTGTTGGGCTATGGATTGGCCATTGTGTATGAAGCAATGTCATTTCTCTTGGTTGCCTACAGATGCTCGCCAGCCTATCATTTCCTTAAAAATTACATTTAAATCATATTTTCCATTAAATGGAGAATAATAACCTTGAAGACTTATACTTGAAAATCACTAATGGAGCTCTGCACAGTAGGAACAATCTAGTAAAATTGAGCAGAACAGCAACTAAAAGCCCATTTACCCAAACTAATTTAAACTTGTTTTCATAAATAGTCAAAGCTGGCCATTAGAGCAGCTGTGAAAAACATTTTCCTCAGAGTGGGTGGGTGCTAAGAGAAAGATGTAGAGTATCAAGGACATAGTATATTTCTACAAAACAGAATGCACTTATTGGTATTCTTCTTATGAATGTGATAAATTAGTGCAAGTGAAAATTGATTTATTCCTCTAACCCAAGCATTTTAAGGGTCCAAGTGAATTTGCGATAATAGTCAACGATCTCCATTCACAAATGTGTGAGCATTATTCTGAAGAGGAGGTCCCCAAGTATGGTGATCAGAAATGAGTGATTAAAAGAGATTATAAACAGAGTGGTCTGAGATGTTAAGGGGAAAGTTGTGACTGTAGAAGGGTTTGAGCAATAGTTTAAGTGAGAGGGCATATATTTTTCATGAAAACTGTAAGATTGAACATTAGTACCAAGTAGAGGGAATGAAGAGTGACTTGTCATTTTTCATTTCTCAGGAGAATACTTCCTGACATGACTGAGTTGATGAATGTCTCTTTGGAAAAGGTTTAGATAATCTAGGTTATGAGTAGAAAGTTCTCAACATTTTTTTTCTACACCCAACACACATGAGACCCAACTTGCTATTACAGTGATTTTCAACCCGGGGCAGTCCCTTAATACTCAGGGCATATCTGTGCCGCCACCTAACAAGCATGTTAAATGTGATATATATGTATATATTATTATCTGTTATTTACAAAAGTATTTTTAGGTAAGTATAACTGTATATACATTGTGAGAACAATGATCATGGTTCTTAGTTTTGATATCCCAGAATATTGTAACATTCTTAAGAATACATATTAATTTAATAAAAAATTTAACACATCTTATAGCATTTGCTGGAAAGGTGAAACAACAGGTGTTTGGGTATGTGTGCATTTTTTCAAATTATAAGAGAAAGTTTATTTAGAAAGTTACAGAGGTAGTAGAAGTAAGCCAGCTGGGCTGCGTAGGCCCAGGAAACAAGTTATAAAAGCAAAGAAAGGGCCCCTGGAGCTTAGGAGAGGGAAAGGCAAGGTAATGCAGGGGGTACGGGGGATGGTGAGGGGGAGAAGAAGGGAAGGGGAAGAGAAAGGCCCAAGTATGTTCCAGAGATGGAGAGTGCAAACTGGGTCCTTCATCTTGAGGGTTTTTTAACAGGTGTTTTAAAATTACAAAAAGACAATGAATTACTATTTTAGATTACAATACTGATATTGTACTTAAATCTGAAAGAGATCAAATTAATAAGAATGTAAATATAAAACTTTTTTACAAAACATATTTCTTTATTGATGAGGAAGGGAGAGGGAGAGAGAGATAGAAACATCAATGATGAGAGAGAATCATTGATCGGCTGCCTCCTGCATGCCCCCCACTGGGGATGAAAAGCCCGCAACCCAGGCATGTGCCCTTGGCCAGAATCGAACCTGGGACCCCTCAGTCCACAGGCTGACGCTCCATCCACTGAACCAAACCAGCTAGGGCATAAATATAAAACTTTTAAAAAGATAGTTTTATATTTATATTGAACATGTAATTAAATATAAATTGATGAATAATAATGATAATAATAACTATTATATATAGTACATATTATGAGTTAAATATGGTTTTAAGCACTTTACATGGTAACTTACTTATATAATAACCTAATAAATAGGTATTATTATTATCCTCATTTTATGAAAGAGGAAACCAAGGCAAAGAGTGAAAAATAACTTGTCCAAGTTCATGCAGCTAATAAGTAGAAGAACCAGCCAGTGAACCTAGGAAATCTAATTCCAGGGTTTGTGAGAATAGTGGTGAAAAGGTAAGTGAGTTTGATACCCCTAGTGTAGAAGAAAGGTAAAGAATTAAATAAAAATACAAGGCAACTCTAGGTAAAGGAAAGATAAGGAAGGCCAGATTTCCTTCTCCCTTAAGGCAGTATCAACTATTTCCCTAAAATGCAGGTATTAGCTACATATTTTTTGGGGGGATGAATCCGTTAAGAAACAGCTTAAAAGATAATTAGATGTATACTAAACCTTACTAATATTACTAAATGTTAATTTTTAAAATACTATACCTTTTAAAATAAGGATGAAGTAAATTATAGCTACAATTAGGCATATTTTTTCATTAACCCTTAACTATGTTGATTCCTATTGTCTCACTTATTTAATCATAGTTTCAGAGAGAAAGTAGACCTTAGCTTTTTTTTTCACCTCTTTGATTTTTTTTATTAAAAACATCAAGTTTCATCCATATAGTTAGGTAATACAACTTCACAAAAGTTCACATCCTCCACTTCTCAGCTGAAAATGATATTCTATTAGTTTTTTCTTACCCTTACTTAGCTACTTTCAGGGTAAGAGTAAGATCTGTCACCTTTCTAGCACAATTTTCTAAAAAGTTGAGTTTTCTTCCTCCGACAGAGAGGGGAAAATTATTGTCATATAGGTCTGCTTCCGCCCACTTTAGCCCTATCCTGTATTTCAAGTTCCCACTAATGCGAACTATGAATTTCATACTCATGTCCCTTTGATTTGATGCTCTAGTTCTAATGGAAAATACTTTACATTGTGTTTAGGAGTCTTTAACGATACACATTTTTTTTTACTCTGCATTGGGTAGTAGTTTTGCTTTGAAATCTGAATTAGACATGGATTAACTCCATTGGACAGAAAGTGAGCCCTGAAGAGGTTCAGTGCTCCATCATATTGGGAGTCAGGCTAGGTAGAGAACTCAGAACTGCAAAACACATACAGGTAGCAACATGATGGGCAAGGAGAGGAGTTATTGGGGGGCAGGGGACATAGAACACAAATACACAATTTTGTTGTTGTTGTTAATCTTCACTTGAGGATATTTCTTCCATGATGAGTAGAGAGAGTGGAAGAGAGGAGGAGAGTCAGAGAGAGAGAAACACTGATGTGAGAGACACATCGATTGGTTGTTTCCCACACAATGCCTGACCAGGGCCGGGGATTGAGCCTGCAACCAAGGTACTTGCCCTTGATGGGAATTAAACCCGGGACCCTTCAGTCTGTGGGCTGACGCTCTATCCACTGAGCCAAACTGGCTAGGGCAGAAAGTTTTACGTTAATACTAATTTAATATCACAGAGATAATCTGGTTTTGTCGGAGAAAGAGGCATCAATTGGTTGTCTCCCACATGGCCCAACCAGGATTGAACCAGAAATCTAGATACATGTCCTTGACCAGGCATCAAATCCACAACCCTTTGGTAATGTACTGACACTCTCACCAATGAGCCAAACCAACCAGGGCTTCATCCCTTTTTAGGTAAAGTTTATATTAGAAAGTTATGGTCACTGTTATAATTGTTGTTAATGAACCAAATGTCTTTACCAGGCATAGTAATTATTGTCCACCTCACCAGAATTCTGATCTTCTCTGATACTCCTACAACCAGATATTGACATGTGCTGATTTTTTGTGTCTATTAACTACCATGCTGGAGTCTGTGAACTAACTTTCGTTCACCTCTGCTTTCTAGTTTGTGCCTTTCAGGGATTATATCGACAGAAGCGGAAACCACATACTGAGCATGGCTAGACTGGCTAAGGATGTCCTAGCTGAGATCCCTGAGCAGTTTCTCTCTTACATGAGGGCCCGAGGAATCAAGCCATCGCCGGCGCCTCCCCCGTACACCCCACCTACACACGTGTTACAGACTCAGATATGACTGTGCTCCAAACGTTCGTGTTAACTACATGTCAGTTGGAACTGCTGAGTCAGGCTTGGTCCTGGTGCTCTGTAAGGAACCAGGGAATGGAACCGTTCTCCGCTTGGCTTCAGCAGTCCTGGTTAATAGGCTTTCTGGGATCCAAACTTATTCTCTTCCTAAACCAAAACTGTAAATATGGTTGTTGCATGAGCAACAGAAACATTGTTTGAATGCTTGAAGCAAAATATGGATGTCTTCTCTGAATCTTTACCTTTTTTTTTCTTTTTTTTTTTGGACAGAAACAGCTAATTTCCAATGTGTTGTTGGGAAAAAGCACAAACTCTGTTTTTAACTCAAATATTGTCCTCGACTGCTGTGTGTATTGGGAAGCAGTCTCTCTGTATCAATGTTTACATGTTCCTACTTTTTAAATTTCAATACTTTTATAACTGTTCTTAAGAATAAGAGTTTTGAATATTGAATCCTTTGTCTTCTAAATTGCAATAGCTATAATTACAAGAGCAATATCTCTTTGAATGACTGTCTGGACAAATACAGTCGCAAACAAAGGAAAGGGAAGATACGTTCATATTTCTTCCGTGAGTGAGTTGTTTTATGAAGCTGCATCTGCTCGGTAGTCAGTTCCTCTGCGTTGGCCAAGGATGGGAGTTCAGCTTAGCAGGTGTGTATCCTGTAAGAACATGCATTTTCCATGGAGTTTGGGTTCTAAATTTAGACTGCAGTCAGTTTATGTTTTGTGCTGCTAAGTAGACATCTTTAAAAAGTCAAAACGTTGTGAACTGTAAATGCACAGAAAATACTGTGTGTTTGTGTAAAAAGTAGCATCTTTATATTATAATGCTATTTAGAAAGACTAAAACCCAAAATATTTAACTGTGAACCATGTAGCAGAAGTTTTAAAACTTTTTATTCCACTATATCTTGTCTAGATATTTTAATTCAAAGGGATACTGTCTCTCTTTCTGGTTTCCTATCACCTTTCCACGTTGCCACACAGGGTGCACAAGCTGGAAGTTTTTTTGTGAAATTCCCAGTGAAATATACACAACCATGTGACTTAGTGCACAACACATTTGTGAAATAACCTACTCCTATATACAAACCTGCCTGTCCGCAATTAATTGTGAAGAGTTTTTGCACGTACAGTTTTTACAAGAATTACAGTTTTGTGATGTTGTGTCCAAATTAAAGCATTTCTTTAGAACAAATGGCCTTAAATTCTCACAGAATTCCTGGAAATGATTGTGAATTGCCTTCAAATAATAGAAAAGTGTATTTATTTATTTTTTCTTTTGTGTCAACAATGTAACTGCTTTATAACATTTTTCCTTATATATTTACTACTTGGTTTATTTTTACTGTATGTTGTTCTCTTTGTCCCAAGTTGACTTAGGGTGACTTTTATAAGCATGAAACTATTTTACTGAAAAGAAAAATATATACATCCACATATCTAACAGTATCAATATAATATAATTATGTAATATTAAAGTGTCCATTTTTAAGTACGTATTAAAATCTTTAAAAGGATAACTATTTGCTCTGTAAATTTTATTCATAATGACATGGAGTCGGATGACTTCCTTCACTGAGCTTAAATATTTATGCCAGTATAGTTTATTAACCTACATATTTTTTATGTATCTTCATCAGTCCAAAATAACAAAAATAAATGAAGTCAATATTATTTTTTTCTTTCTTTCTTGTCAAGTATCAGTGATTTTTTTCCTTTGAATTGATAAGCGAAAATGAAAGATGTGCCCTTTCCTACCTAAATAAGTGTGCCCAAGCCTAGCAGGGGTAAATGGCTAACCATGGGGAAATCTCAGCTACAAACCTATCTTTGGTATGACTGTTAATAATTATCAGAAGCCTACACGATGTTAGTTCTGTGGGTAAGATTAGAAAATACCTAGTCTTGTCTTGCCATTGCCTAAAAGATGAAACCAAGACTGAGGGGCTGAGAGGTTTATCCAAGACTGCATAACTAGAGCGGAGTTTGTCACCATTGCGAAAATACTGGTTATGACTCCCGAAATGTTGTGAAAGTTGCCGTTAGGGGCTGTGCAATGACAAATGCCACAGAAGGTTGCTTGCCGTTGCTGTGCACCTCACTCCACCTTCCCACCCAATATCCATTGCCTGTGCGAATACCTGAAAGTTATGTAAAAACCGGCAACAATAAAAAATATATTTAAAAATGGGGGGAAAAAACACAGCAAAAACTTTCATTCCACACAATATAGGGAGGTGCTGAAATGAAAGACTTGGAACTTTTAAAACTTAGTAAGACATTTTATAAACATACTGATGTAAGAGTTTGCACCAAGTTGTTGTTGCTGTTTTTCTAAATGGCTTTTCTTCATGGGATCTTTTCTTAAGCTCTCCCTTCCCTTTGATAAGGGAAGACTTGAGTACAAAACTGCTAGGAAGGGCTTCTTTGGAAGATGTGAAAGGGAAATTGAGAGAAACAGCAGTCCAAGCCTCAGCTACGTTGTCCACT